AGATATTAACGACATACCTGAATATATTAGGAAGTGAACACGATGATGAATAGCACTCTTGGGAAATAAATATAAGTACGAAGCTATCGGATTAATTTAATGATCGACGCGAACGAAGTCATCCACCATGGAATATTTAACGTATCGTATCGTGTAAAAATCGATCTGAATTTGCTTGGCCCGTTCCATCGTTTAAACGAGCCTCTTTTTTGTCCCGTGATTAATGGTACAAAAATTTCGAGGCGTGCAAATATCGCGACACGATCGAATGAGGAGAACTATATCGATAACGACCGTGCTCTGATTTTTCGACGAATCGAATCGAAGGTAAATATTTGAAAGAATCGTAATAAAAGAGAATATTATTTTACAACCACTCGAACGTACTGAAATGAGAATTTTCGAAAAACGAGACCCAATGGATTTTCATAATAGCGGATTCAAATAAGAGGAAAATGTTTAGAGCGCGATGAAAATCGTAGAAAATGTATAATACGAATATATAGTGATCGAGTTAAGCGAGTGACGACTTTATGGCACATTTTCGCGCGAAAATACCACAACGAACATTTATTTCTGCGATGGTGGATCAATGTAAAACGCGTACAGGTTACCAATATTGGCCGAGCGGGCGATGACAACGAGACAAATATTAATTACAACCGTTGTGTATCGCCTGTCGTGTTGGCCCGAGAAAATTTACAGCGACCAATAATTGATGGAAAAAAACTTGAGCTGAAACGTTCGAAAAATTTACGATACATAATAATGGTCGACCGTATTAGAAATTTTAATCGTTTCTAAAAATAATCGTTTCCGTGTTTAAATGTGTTTTTTGCCGAGCTTGGAATAAACTTGGACGCCCAATCGCATGATTTTTCGTGAATAATCTTCTCTGATCCTCATTTTCGAACGATTTTACGTTCAATATAATATTCAATCGTTTATTGATCAATAATTGTAACTGAATTATATAAGTTATATCGAGGGATCAGCGAATTTACTTTTCAATCTTTGCATCAAGTAAAAGATAATAAATGAACTATTAACTTACAACATTAAATTTTAATAACCTAGTCGTTTTAATTACAAAACCAATTATTTCACCTTCCTGATGAAATAATTTCAGTACTCCGAAACTCCGAACGCTCCTTTTTCCCCTTAATTATCCCCTCTCTGCGATTGACGAAATTATTATTCCACGCGCAAACAGTGGAAATAACAGTTGCATAAAATTAATCGTGTAATCGTAAAAAAATCTTTAGCATGGTCGAAGGATAAGCGAGATTAGATTGAGAGGAATCGCAACAAAAGCGCGAGGATAATTTCGAGATTCGACGAGATTAACCGCCGTTGACCGTTTTTCTTTTCTTTTTTTTTCCACCTGCAAATTTTTCACGTGCTTAATCCGTTTGTGCACGTTGGTGGACGAGTTGGACACGCGTTGGAACGAGGAGAGGGGGAGAGGAGAGTTAATTAGCCGAGTGAAAGAGGCAGAACACGCCAGAGACTTCCGCCAGAAGGGTGGATAAAAACGAATTAACGTCCTCCTTTAACAATGAATTTTTTATCATGGGGAAAACTCGTCCGCAGCTTCCCCCGCGCGAACCGTTTGTAACAGCTTGGGCTAATTTTTCAAGCCTCGGTGAATTTCGAACTTTTCGCATTATCGCTGAAGGGAAATTTAGGGACAAATTGGTGAATTAAAAAAAATTCTCCGCTGCGGAGAATGTTTTGGTCTTGTTTTGGTTCGTTTTATTTTTTTTTCTTCTTCTTTAAAATTCATTTTGAATTTGTTATAATAAAATAGGATGAAAAGAGAATGGAGTAAGAGTGTAAATATTTTTTTAAAAGTATTGTTATTAGCGAAAAAGCTTTGTGCAAACTTTTTTTATAAATAATTATTATTTTCTTTTATATATATATGAAAGAAAAATTTCAAACGATTCTCCATGTATTATATCGAAAATATTAATCAAAATCTCCAATACATATATATATCAAGATCAAAACGATGGAGCGATAACCATATTCTAGATCATATCGATCCCCTCTTGGTATTCTCTTTCCAAGATCTCCAAGAAATTTCCGAAATAAAGCTCCACATTCTCCTCGATCTTTCCTCGAATTCCTAATCTATCTATCTCCGACATAGCCGAATATTTCCTCCGAATATTTCCTCGTGCTTTCAATTCCTGCGATCATAAATCGATTTTCGAAAATCTCTATAGAGATTGCCGATTGGTAGGCACGCTCCAACGAACGAGACGAGAGCACGAATCTGGAGATAAATATTTTTTTCGTACTTCGTCGAA